CAGGGCTGGCCTCAAACTCATTATCCTTCTGTTTCTGCCTCCTTTGTAACTGGAATTACAGCATGCACCACCATGCTTGGCTTATAGTTGCTGTTCCCTTTGGCCATATGTCCATCCTAACTACATCCTTCCATGGTCCTGTCCAGCCCTTCCCTTCCCTGGCTTTCTGAGATGAACTGTGAGGAGGCTTCTGGGCTTGGGGAAGGCAATGTGGAACTTGTGGGAAGAGCTAATGGGCCCTAAAGGTGGGCATGGGAGGGCCTAAGGGGAAACAGAATTTCGCCACTCCATCAAAATCTGTTATCTTTGAAGGATGGCATGTTTAGGTCACAGCCTCCCTCTTACCATGATTGTCCATAAGAGGTGGGTACATCAGAAAAATCTCTGTGACTTCTGCCAAATCATTGCTGTGAGCAGGGACCACCGTGAGACAGTATGCAGTGAGGTGGGTAAGGGTACATGCTTAGTGGATGTAGCCATCGGGCCTGGGTTCAAATCCCAGCTTCTCCACCAACTCACTTCCTGATCTTGGGTCAGTGAACTGCTCCAAGCCCTGGTTTGGTCTGACACATAACTGAGCACATCATATATATTTCATATTGTTACAGTCTTCAGTTACAGATGGACTTACACGTTAAACTTCTTTTATAATCTAGTTCAGGCTGAGAGGGAAGGAAGGATCAGATCTATCTCCATCAGTGAAGTTTTTTTTTTTTTTTTTTTTTGAGACAGTCTTTTTTTGAGACAGCTCTGTAATCCAGGCTGGCCACAATCTTCCTGCCTCAGCCTCCTGAAGAGCTGGGATTACAGGTGTGAACCACTATGTCTGGCACCTCTGTGAGATTTTGATAGCTGTGTTCTGAGAAAGACAGGATACGAAGAGAGGTCATGCAAACAGAGGATCTGGTAGTTAGAATGACTTTGGGCAGTGCTGGGTTTAGCAAAGGTAAACAGTGTCTTTGCTGCACCTTTACCAAGTTAAGACTTCTTGGGAAGCCTCACGAGTGGGTGATGCGTGCAGTGCTGCCCCAGATTCATATAACCAGGGAGCCCTTTTCCACAAGGCATGCAGGGGACATGCTTTGGATACAGTTGCTATTGCATCTCTTTCTCTTTTGGCTCACGAGAAACTTGTCTCCATTGATGCTCACTCCATTCATCATACTGGAAGGGACTTGCTACATTTACCCACACCCCCTCTGCAGGGCTGGTTTTTGATTTCTGGTTTGCTGTGTCTATCTTTCAGTGCAGGGGACCTCAGACACATGTGGGTGCAAACAGGGTGGGGCTGGTAGCATCTGGAGATGAAAAACTCATCCTACAACCTGGGCAGCTCTGAGCTCTGGGGAGTTGTGGGTAGGACTGGGGTGCAGTTCCCTGGAGTATATCTGCAAGGTCTGTTTGTGATTATTTTGCCCAGGCAATGAAGAAAAGGAGGGCAAGAGCCAGCATGCTATGTTCTGTAAGCTCTGCTTGGTTCCTTGTGCTGGTCCCTGCTAACTTCCAGAATGAGTCTGCCTCTGCTGCTGCTGCTGCATTTTGCAGCTCTAAGAAAGGCAGAGGCAGTGGACCGTGACCATGAACCTGGGTTTCAGTGAAGTGGCCTTAGGAGTGGGTGAACCAAGGGAGAGGGCCCCGATTCTGCAGTGGCCACTCTGAGGATGGTAGGCCACACTGAGAGGTTGGCTGTGTCCTGCTTCTGGAGGGGGTGCAGGTGCCACCGCGTCTTTCTACCCCCTTACGTAGGTCCCTCTTTGACTCTTTCAGTTAACCCGCAGGGGTAAGGGGGAGACTGGAAGAAAGTGTCCCTATTCCACCCCCATATTTCTCTTGTGCATTTCAATCTGCAGGGAATGACTATGGGTGGGCAGAGAACTCAGTGTCGTGGGTCATGACCAGCATTTATAACGTAAAGCAGAAGAGGACATATTGGAATGTGTTGGATGTCGTAGGCTAAGTGTTATGTAATAAAAGCCAGATTGGTGGGTGGGTAGATATGTAGATGGATCACGGTGTCAAGTGTTTCATTGTGCATTGTGCTCAATGAAGTTTGGAAGCCATTGGCTAGCTGACTGGTGCTGGTTCCAACTGTGCAGGGTTGATCTGCTCCTTGGGTCTGTCTGGACTCTGAGCCCCACTCCCAAGCCTGAGGTATCCCTCTAGGCCCTGGAAAAGGATACCTGAAGACAGGTGCTTGTGATATGGCCCTCTTTGAAGGATACATTTTTGTAGCCACCAGGCCATTGAGGCAGGGGTCCTCAATGCTCTTGGAAGGGGTCACTCCTGGCTGACAGGTGGGTATTAGCAGTTTTGGCTGTATGAGGAGGAGAACTGGGGAATCCCCAGTTATGCTTCTTATCCTAGGTTGCCACTCAGCTGTGTGACACAGGGCAAGAGACTTGCCCTCTCTGGGTCTCTCAGTTTGTTCATGTGCAAGGGAGAGGACAGGACCACAGGAACAGGTGCTAAGGTTCTGCACTCACAGTGTGTTCCAGAATGACATTAAAGAAACCTGGATCTTCTGGAAAATCCCCAAATGGAAGCCAGGGTTGCCCACCAGGTTTCTCCCCAATGCCCCCCCAAAGCAATCTAGTCGGCCCAAAGGAAATCAGCAGCAAAGGTGAATGATGACAGAGAAGCTGGAGCCTAAGCCTGGTCTCCATGGACAGCATTTATTAGGCGCCATTCTCAGTGTGAAGACAGATGGGCAGGAGGAGCTGAAGGGGCCAGGGCAGCCACAGCCTGGGGAGTTCAGGGGCTGCCCGGGGTGGGTGTGGGTGATGTCACCCACACATATTGCATATTCTGTGGCAGTGTGCCCAGGCATAAGGCATTGGGGAAGCAGAAAGGCTGCCTGCAGTGGGAGGGCGTGAGACGGGAAGTGACACTGGCCTTCTAGTTCCCTAGGAAAGACCCCACAGGAGACCAGGAGTCACCATGCTCTGCCCCAGGACCACTCTGCTCCAACTCCACCCTCTCTCTGCAACTTTGGTTGTGGCTCCCTCGGGTCTGACAGGACTTGACCCCTCGAGGGCAGGGTCACACATAGGACAGAGGCAACAGCACTGCCCCCCACTCCTAACATAAATACAGAAGGTACCCCTCTAGGTCCTCATCCTCTGCTCTCCTTGGCATGTAGGCAACCAGCTCCTCCACACTGAGACGGGACACACACAGGCCAGACTTCCTCCTTGGGGATGCCCAGGGCCTAGAGGGCATGGTTGGGGTACGGTCTGAGAATGACCACCTTGTAGGCCCCTCCCTCCAGCTTCCTTAACATTAGGGCTGGAGCTGGCCTTGCTCAGCAGTGTGAAGGAGTTGGGGAGACAGCACAGCACTAGGAGAAGTCCCTCATCACCTCACCTTTTTTTGGCAGTGTTGGGGACTGGACCGAGGGCCTTGCTCATGCTAGGAAGGCACTGTATCCCCAGACCATGCTCATTCTTGTTGCCATCCTAGCCACTATCCCGGCTCCAGCTGCATGCCTGCAACAGCAACCCTTGGGAATTGCTTCCATCTGCTGCCTTGCTCCCGGCCTTCTGGGTTGCAGGTGGGGTAGGCAGAGGGCACACCAGGTCCAGCTCCAGCCTATCTCTAGCAGCTGGGGCCATAAGTACCAACACTGGCTGAAGGGCCAGGGATAATGTCCTAGGTGGCTATGCCTGCCAGCTCTCTTGGCTGCTCCACCCAATCTCCAAATTCTTAAAAGCCCCAGTTTCTGGCCTTTCTTATGAAAGACCCGGCCATGCTCACCTCAGTTCCAAGAATGTCTCTGCTCATAAGCAGGTGCTCCAGAGAAAAAGGTCTGTTCGGAGCCCCTGCCTTGAGGCCCAGAGTAGCAGAGGCCGAGACTCAATAAGGGCCCACGCTAGGGCTTCTGTGTCTGGTTTTAGCCCCAGGTGTGTGCACATGTCAAGGTGTGCTGGGCAGGAGCTCTGTTTCCAGCTGAACTGGAAGGAAGAGCACTTGAGCTGGGAACAAGCTGATAGGTTCTTGTTCCCCTTCACCTTTTGTGACCTGCATCACCTTGAGTCACTTCACCTGTGTCCTCATCTGTAAAAGAGGGATAAGAACTCCTAGCCTGGTGACCTAACTGGTATCGTGACACTTGAATGAATGAACAGGCAGGACAAGGTTTTCTGAGGCTAAAAATTACTCTACAAATTGAAGAGTTGGTGATCAGCAGCCAGGGACAGCGATTCTAAGGGTAAAGTCTGGAGGCTGGAGTCCCCCAGGGGTGCCTGAGAATGCTGCTAGGGGCCAGGTAGCTCTCACCTACCAGTGTCACCATCCTGCAGACTTGGGGGCCACTGTCTCCCCACTCCCCTCGCTTCCTGCCTGCCCTTTCTTTCTGTCCTGCCCTCTGGGGGGCTTTAGGGACCACTGGGGTTTCCACTTTCTTCATAACTGCAAAGCCATGCAAAACAACACAGAAGGTAGTGGGAGGCAGGGAGACACAGCTGGGGATGAGGAAGGGGAGTGGGACTGAGTAGGGGTGACCTGGACAAAGACACCTTGGCTTTTGTTGCCAAGGGGAGGTGGGAGACCTGGCAGGACAGAGGTATAAATAGAGATGCAAACGTACACGGAACAGAAGTCCCCTCCGGAGGTAGGGGTCTGGGTACCCGCAGGGCCTCTGAGAACTGGGGAGCTGCTTACATTTCCAAGGGGATGGGAGGCTCCCAGCAGCTGCTTTCCCTCTGCGACGCCTCCCCCCCTCCGCCAAGTTTCACATTTCTCGGAATTTGCAGGGCTCTGGGATGGGGTGGGGGGCTCCAGGGGCCATCAGAGCCCAGCCTCCTGCTGGCTGGTGCGAGCAGGCACAGTTGGAGATGGGGCTGGGGGAGATTGGTGGTGGTGGTGGTGGGGGTACTGAGGGCGTCCCACAGGGCGGAAGGCGTCGGGACGGGGGCCTCTGACCGAGCCCTGCTGCTCCTCCAGGCAGGAGGCCCCGCCCCACTCGCAGGTGCTCCGGGCCTCGCGCGCGCGCGCGCGATGGTTCACACGGAGCTCCTGCGCTTCATGAGGCCGCGGAAGGTGGACAGGCTGTGCAGGCCCGTGGACACCGAGCTGATGGCCGAGCGCTGCGTCCCACTGCAGAGGCAGCGGTGCGAGGGCGTGTCGCTGTAGCGGCCACCCCCTCCCGGCGACGAGTGGCTCTGCTCCACGCACGTGTCGGACGTGGACAGGTCCCGCGGGATGATCATGGGGATGGAGTACTGCAGCTTCTCGCGACTCTTGTACCAGAGGCACGAGCACATGGACTGGAAGTGCAGCACCTCGGCATAGACGTTGCGGAAGCCGCTGCCGCTGCCACCCGGGGCCGCCATGGACGAGACCGTGTCGGTGGTGAGCGCGCTGTCGCCGGTGCCCACGCCCAGGCAGCTGAGGCCACCCAGACCGCCGCCACCCGCCTGCCCGTTGTGCGTCAGCAGCGCGCGGTGCTCGGCGTCACGCTTCTCGTCCTCGGCGTTCATGGTCATGAAACGCAGCACCACGAGGTTGAGGAAGGCGCCGATGACCGTGAGGCCCGTGAGGATGTAGACGAAGCTGAAGGCCACGTACTGCGGCTGCGTCTGCAGCGCCTGGTCCTTCTGCAGCGCCACGTAGTCGCCGAAGCCGATGGTGGTGAGCGTGATGAAGCAGTAGTAGTAGGCCTGGAAGAAGGTCCAGTGCTCATAGTAGGAGAAGGCGGCGGCGCCGATGCACAGCGTGCTCATGCACGAGAAGAGGCCGATGAGCACCATGTTGGCCATGGACACGTCGGCGCGCCGCATGCCCAGCCCCTTCTTGGCACGGTGCAGCAGGTACCTCACAAAGGTGTTAATGCGCTCGCCCAGGCTCTGGAACATGACGAGCGTGAGTGGGATGCCCAGCAACGCATAGAACATGCAGAACACCTTGCCTCCATCCGTGCTGGGCGCTGCGTGGCCGTAGCCTGGGGAAAGTGGAGGGAAAAAGCACATGCTAAGGGACTGCCCTTACAGAGGCCCTCCTCCTCCGCCTGTCCCTCCACCTCCCCACCTTGCAAATTCATAGGCACATCACTGTGCTAGTCCTTTGCATCTTCGCACGCACTCTTGTAGCAATTCCAGAGGGCAAGGAAAATGCAGAAACAGGGAGGGCTATTTGGAAACAGACCAACCCAAGTTTGAACTTAAATCTGTATGGCTGCAAAAAGTAGGACTGCTGGGAACCTTGTCCAGATGCAGCTTGGAGCTCGTGAATGGCAGTAGTTGAGCCCTAGGCTCCAGTCTACCCACTGTTGGCTCTGGGCATGCTCCCTGTCCTCCCTGGGCCTCAGTTTTCTTGGTTGTGTGAGGAGGTGGTTGGACTGAATGGCTTCTGACATCCTGTGATTCAGTGTGAAGGGAGGGAAACTGAGGCATGTATGGATCCTTAATGATTTCTGTGCTGCTAGTCAAAGCTTACAGTGGGTAGGGACCACTTGGGCCCTCCAGTCTGCCTGGGAAGCTGGCCCAGCAGAGGCAGAGGAGAAAGGAGATTGACTGCCTGGATCCCTTCCACTGGGATGAATAAGTGCTGCAGGGTCTGGAGCCTCTGAGGTTGATCCAAAGTAGGCTGTGTCCTAATGGGATGGGATATTGTTATCCTTGGCAAAGAAGGAGCCCTGAGTGTCCTTCCAGGTGCGTTACTATCACCATCTAGATAATCTCTGTGCCGTCCCCACCTACCAAGTCTTCAGTGAACCAACCATCAAATGGCCATCAAGAATTCTGGAGGGAAAAATGTTCCTGGATGAGAACTCAGAAGCCATAGGTACAGGTTCCTGCCCTGTCACTAGTGGCTTTGTGACCTTGAGTAAATTACTCCCCCTCTCTGATCATGTTTCTCCACTTGTAAAATGAGATCTACTGGTTTGGCCTTGTTTCTTTCACCAGACTGTTGAGAATAAATATCTCAACTTTTATTAAGAGAATTATAATAATGAGTTAATGCTGGCAGCCTTTCCAATTTTTCTTCTTTTCCAAGCCCTACACAATTTTAACCAAATGCTGCTTCTTCCATACAGTCTTCCTGGTTTCCTCACAGCTAAAAGTGATCTCTGCCTTCTTTGAGTGGCACTGAGAATATTCAGCTTTGAACTCCAGGACCCCCAACTGCATCCAGCTAAACACTGGCTTGGGGACACTGCTGGGCCTGTCATGTTCCCCTCTGACTTCCACCTCCATGTTGCCAGCTGCTTCCACGGGGCCCAAAATACACTTAATGACTAAATTGCAGGCCAGGATACTGTGTACTTTGTGTCTGATCTGAGTTCAAATCCTGCTGTGACCTGGCTTAGCTGTGTGTGTGTGTAAACTCTCTGAGCATTAATTTCTACATCTGTGAAATGGGGCTAATAAGTCACCTGCCTCACAGGGTTTTTGGGAGGAGTACGTGAGAAAATGTATGTGATGCACTTAGCCTAGAGCCTGGTACATATCAAGTGCCCAATAATGGCTGACTGATTAGTATGAACAAAGTGCCAGATTACTCTCACATTTCCAAGAGAGTGCTGGGCTTGGGGGGCAGCTGAGTTCCAGTAAAGCTGGCATTTCTGCCGGCCTAGGGTCATTTAAATCTTCAAGCACAGAGAGGCCTGGGGACAGCTGTCCAGGGCGTGGAGACCTCAGGGCTGTCCTTAGATTGGGCTCTTGCTGCCCCCCTTCCCCTCTGCGGCATCCAGCCAGTCACTGTCCCCTTTGCCAGGGGCCTGTGCAGCTGAGCTGTTGAGCGGAGGTGCCTGGCCCATCCATACCCCAGCAGGGTGAGAACAGATTGTGCCCGCCAGCTCAGCCCAGTAGCCAGACCACAACTCACCTCGACAGCTGAGCAGGCCCCCAGCCAGGGCTTCTTCTTATCCTGCTCTTTCCTGTCCCCCAGACCGGCACTGCACGGTGTATGGGCAGAGGGCAGGGGGCATATGGCACTGGGGACAGTGCTCCACAGAGAATGCCAAGTGTGGACCTGGCTCAGTTGTGTGACCTTGGACAAATCCCTTCCTCTCTCTGGGCTCACTTCCCTTTTTTACAATGGGCAGCGGGGGGAGGGTCGTATGTGTGAGCTAAAACTGATAATCCCTGCCCTGGTCACCCACCAGAGCTGCCTGGGGAGGGAAAGACCAGTGGGTGTGAAAGTCCTTGGGAGCCTTTGGTCATGGAGTCTTATGGGGAAAGCCCTGAGAGCAAAGTCCAGGGAGTAGGGCCATCTGTGGGGCCAGGAAATGACAGTCCACTGTCAGGTGTCTTCTACCACCCCCACCATCCCCACCAACTTGCCCTGCGTAATGTTATGGACTGTGACTTCTCTGAGCCCACTGCCTCTCAGGAAAACTCAGTGCTTGCTTGCCTGTCAGCCTCTGCCTGCACGGGCTGCCCCCAAATCCCTCAGGCCTTTCCTGATCTGATTCCAGCTCACTGTTTTCTCCCTCCTTGTCAGTACCCCTCAGCAGCCACCTGGCTCTTCACCCCACACCCAGATATGCTGACCCCCTCCCCCTAGTGCTTTTCCTACTGCCCTCCTCCCCCTGCTCCTGCCTGGCCCAGGTGCCCTCAGGGCCCAGCTTTAACTACAAGTGACACCCCTCCTCCCAACTGCTCCACTGAACTTGGTGACTCTCAGAGAAAGTGACTCATCCAGGCCTGACCACAGGCTCCTAGTGGGGCGGAGCCTCTGCCCATCCTGGCCACAGCCTTGCCCAGGGAAGCCTGGCTTGGACATTTCCCATCCTTGGGGACAGATGCTCCAGGCTTACTCTCACTCCCACCATAAGCCGGGACTCACTAATCAGAAAGCCCTTACCCTTCAGGTGCATTTTTAACTTAACCCTCAAAACAGTCACTGTTGTGACTGTCTCCACTTTTCTGCTAGGGCCAGTAAGTCTGCGGAGGCCTTGTGAGTCAGCCATGGTCACTTTGCCTTTCTGATTCAGCATTCACGTCAGTGCATTACAGCCAATGTATCAGTCCAGGAAGGGCAACCAAGAAGGGAAACCAAGGCCCAGGGGTAGAATATTCCATGGCATTGCCCCAACCAGAGACGAGGCGCAGTGGGCATGGAGATTGATGCTTAGGAGACAGATGCTTCTCTAGCATGGGGCCCAGGGTGTGTGCCCGCCCCTTTGTCCTGTGTCACTGGGTGAAAGGCCAAGGGACCTGCTGACGTGGACCAGCTTGGAGGACTGCCAGCTAGGGTGGAGCCCGTCCCAGGGGACCCCAGACTTCTGGGAAGTCAATGGGAGTTTGGCAAGTTCCGTCTCCCTGCAGTGGGCCGCTGCCTGCTTGGGCCCTGCCGTGTAAGGCTTGGCTTTGCGCCTTCTACCCAGCCGTGCAAGTGTCTGGGTGAGGGGCTCTGTCTGTCTCTCTGTGACACCAACACACACATGGGCTATTCTTTTGACTGATTCTCTGGGGACCCTACTGATCTGATGAGCCAGAACTTGTACCCACCATGGGATACTACTAGCTGCACTTTCAGAGCACAGTGGCTGTCCCCACCTCCTCCGTCTCCCTGCCCCCCTTTTCCAAATCCACCATAGATTTAAAGGTTCTGAGCAATCATTTGGCCTAGTCCATATATCATACAGATGAGGAAATAGAAGATCGGAGAGGGAAAGCAACCTGCTCAAGGCCACACAGCTGGCAAAACCCAGGATTTAACACCTGAAGGGTAAGAAGCAGGGCTATAGCCCAGAATACCTGATTCCCAAAACCAGTGTTCTGTCTACTGCTATACTTGTTCAGGTATGACCCAAGCTATACTTGTTCATTCAACTAGGGTCAATAGCTCCTACTTGGGAGCAACTTTGCCAAGAGATGGTTCTGGAGGCACAAAAGTTACCTGAGGAAGCCAGATGGCTGGATATAAAAATTATGGGACTGGACATGGATATTATTAGTATAAATATTTTAGGTAGCAGGAGAAGTTCTTTCTTTTTCCTCTTGGCTCTACCAAGGAGCTCAGACACTGGCTGTAGCTCTGCCTTCCAGGGACCTTCAGAGCTTACAGAGGTCAGGTCTGGCCCTCACTGTCTGTCTCTCCATGTGGCCTGTTTCCTTCTAGTCAAAGCATGACTAGCTACTCTATGTGCTTGGTAATGGCCTTAGCTGCCCTAGGCTCAGCCATGTACTCTCCACTGGCCTCCTGTGCCTGTTAGCCTACCAGCCTGACCTCATACCCTTGGCCTAACTGGCCAGGAGGCCAGGCCACTGGTCACAGCCATGGGTGGAGGAAAGTGCGTAGGGCTTTGAGTCTGACTTCACCCTGACCCTGACCAGCATTGAGTCTTGGCCAGACCCTTCCCTTCTCTGGTTTCCTCACCTCAGTGATACGGGTAGATAGGGCAAGATATGATGTTCTCACCTTTTTTCACTGCTATGCCTTGTGTTATTTTCTCTGTTCACCCACCCACTCATCGGATCAAAATTTTGAAAGAGTTCACTTATGAAGTTTGATGTGTTGATTAGTACAGTGTATTTACTACATAAGAGCAGGCACTGAATAGATTATTATTAAAGTCATAACTCATTTATTTCCTCATCAAAATTAATTAAGCACACATCTGCCAATCAGAACTTCTGAGATGAGATAATTGATTCTATGAAACTGAATTAATTTATCCTTATATGTTGAAATACTGAAAATGGGTAGGGAGTCTCTGCCATTTAATGGAGTAGATAGAGCACAGGCTCTGGTGCAAACAGCTTTTGTCCTTGGCCAGATTACTTAATCCTCTGTGCCTCAGTTTCTTCACCTGTAAATAGGGATAATGATGTATGTACCTCAGAGTTGCTGTGGGAATTTGAAATTTTAACAGACTTAAAATGCTTAGGGCATTGGGTTGATCACTGGTGGCTCATGCCTGTAATCCTAGCTACTTGGGAGGCTGAGATTAAAATCATGGTTTGAGGCTAGCCTGAGCAAATAGTTTGTGAG